AGGGCTTGTCTTGTGACGCAGTTGGGTGCTTTCCTCAGTGTGTGTCCTATCCACTTCCAGCGCTTCTTCCTGATTTCTTCCTCTTCTGGGTTCTGGTTTGTACTTTCCCACATTTGGTTGTTGCTATTAGTGATCGGCCAACGGATCTGAAATATTTTTCGTAGACAACTTTTAATAAACACCTGTATTTTCTGGATGACGGCTTTCGTAGTTCTCCATGTTTCCGCTCCATACAGTAGAACTATCTTGATATTTGTATTGAAAATCCGGATCTTGGTGTTGGTTTGCAGTTGTTTTGAGCTCCGCCTGGAGTCTCTCCAGGGGCTAACGCCGGTCCCAAGCCCGAATAAAGGAGAAGGGTTGGACATGGGGTTAGCGACTCCATCCCGTAGAAAACTGACTCGCTAAAAAAACGCTAACCAGAAAAAATTATTCAAACCTTTTTCTAGTTACAGATTTCAAAAAAACGAGAAATTTCATAATCAATCGGTCGCGTAAACTAGTATAAGAATAGATTTCATGAATTCGCTGTAATTAGCCTAGACAAGAATATACCGTTAATTAAATAGTTATTCTGCTACATAATATCATTTAGCTTTAGCAAAGAAAACTGATCTTCAATATACACACAGATGAAATTATTTGTATAAAAGCAAACTTTTACTACCTAAGTCTACTCAGTATTATCATTAATTCACAGAACTCAAATGAGATGAAACTATTGAAGATTTTCTATACTAAGGTTAGCAGACATATTCGTTATAGTTTTACGTGTTATCCACATGTATCTATGCGCGATTTCACATTAATTTACTTGATTGTATCAAATGTAAAATGAACACTAAATTTTTCTTTAGCCGAATGGTTTACAAAAGGGCAGCTTAATGTATCCAATAAGTATCTGAACATTATAAACGTTTCCATTTTTCATATTTTGGGTGACAATAACATTAGAGGTTGAGGCATAATAATGAATAATTACATTAGGCTACTATTGAATTATAATTCAGTTAACTTTTGATGAAGTAGTAATGGCTATTTTTCCTAATAATCTATGATTTATCGAATGCTAGGCTATTATAAGAACAATGATCGCTGGTTAGAGAATAAATTGCTTCAATAAGTTAGATAAAGATTAAACGTATAAAAACTACACTCTTTTATACTTGGAAGTTAGATTATAGCAACTCACGTGCAATTGAGTTTGTTCTCATTTAACTCAGTTTAGCCCTTTTGTTAACTTATTTAGCGAACAAAGTCATCCGTACTATTACAACTTATTGTACCTTTATTATTGTTGTGCTTGTATGAAAAATATGTATACTTAAACATTGCTTACCGCTTACGCATATATTCATTCTACTAGCTTTATTATTAACTGCTTAATCGATTCGATGACCCATTCATTTCCCTATATATATACACGTACATTTAACACTCTACACTCTCGGTTCGCTGACTCACTCATTCGCCTCATTGCTTTGTGGTATGAGTTATCTGCTAATAAAACTGTGGTCTCTGCTTCTCTCTTTGCCTTCTGATTTCAAACACCGTTGAGGATTATATGGTAACGGTTACGAGGGTGATTGATCAACGAAGCACAGTCACTACAAGATAATCGAGAGAAATATTGTTTATGACATTAAGTTACAACATAATATTGCCACTTATTCATTTAGTTAATTAAAGCAAACAACACAGATAAGTAAAAATTAGCCAAACACTAAAATTGATAAAAAGAAGCATTCAGTTTAGTTTCTATTCATATCTATGATTCATTCTTTTCATATTTCTTAGCAGAACAAATCATGGAAATATTTAATGATTGAAATCAAACACTCGATAATTCTTGTTTCTACATATTTTGATAAACATTAATTCAAAAGTTGTTATTTGAACAGACAACAACAAGATTAATCTGTTTATTTAATAATCAGTAGATAGATAAATTTATGTCTAGAATAATAAAATCTTATTGGACAATACTTAATGATGCTTTTGTTTGTGCAAAGATTTTGCTACTTAATATAAATAAGTAGCACACTCTATATTCATGCATATAAAGTTAGATATATATGTTACAACCCCCCCCCCTCATACAAAAAAGATTGATTCTATGAATCCAACTACATATTATTGATTAATATTGATGAAACCTTATTTATTGTATCTGACATTTTATTTTATAGTTTTAGTAAAAGGCGTCCATGTAACAAATCTACAATACAATTTATGTGGAAATGTCATGTATAGAAATCTCGGTTTTAAAGAAAAAAAGGAAATATAGAAAAACAATTTACTTTTGTAACAATAGAGGATCCTTCTGAAAATCTAGAATGAAGTTATTTTGAAAAGAAAAAAAGGTAATAAAACAATGATGAATACAAGTAGATTATTGAAGGTAAATGATTAAGTCAATAAACAATTCTTTTATACATTCATTAATATGATAGTTTGTTTGAATTATGCCAAGTTATCAATTACTTGAATTTAAAGTATTCATAGTGAAATTCAACAAAACATAATTGAATAGAAAAATGACATTAAACTGTAGAAAAGATATACAACTCGTCTACATGTGTACGCCATTTCGGACAAGCATTAGTTGAAGAATCATTGAAGATGTGGTTCGAGTGTATTGTTGTTTCGTCTCAACTTAGAACTCGTTAGAAGTGCACACCAAATAAAATACACCGAAGTGAAAAGTAGGGTATTTCGATATCTCAGTGAGAATTATGTCTTTAGTCTTCTGAATTATAGTCCTGTACAGTTTATCTAAGAGCATAATAGAAAGTGTGGACAACTACGTAATTCATAATGAATTACAGTAACATTGTATATGCATCAATCCAATTTAAATCTTTTAATGGAAGTGAATTTAGTATATGTCATAAAGGAATATAGAACCAACCATATTTGCAGCTTTACATTTATTTAAAATTGTATTTCAATTTCATGGTAAAAGTGTATTAAAATTATGGACTTTATATGGTGTTTGAATGAACTAATGATACCATTGTACTTGTTGAATGCTTGATTTCGAATTCTAAATGCAATACATTCGTTCGTGCTTGTCTAGTACTTCTTGATTTCATTGCGTTATTTCTGGGACTCTTAGTTCGTACTACAATTCAAATAATTCGAAACATTATACTTTAGTCTATGCATCAGTTTTCTGTAGATTTATTGTACCGGTTACTCATTTAGGTAATTAAATATTTAACATTAGAATATTAAACAGATCTAGTTGTTATCATGACGAATAGCGTCCTTATGTAGAAATAGTTTTTAAAGATTTTACTGCTAAGAATGTAAAGTGAAATATTTAAGGAATTTAAGTAACTGAATTTTCTGAAATAATTTTTTATAACTCTGTAAGACTGATTAGTGATGCTGAGGTTTCTTATGACAAACTGACTTCGCTTAGAAAACTTTAGAAATCCCTAGATAGCTATCCCATCCTAATATGAGATTCTTCATCGGTATTCATCTATGAACTTTATGATGTTGTGCGACCATCATAATTTAATATTAGTGTTATATAACTCATGTCTGATGAAGTTAATTAATGTTATATCATTTTTATCATAAGAAATTAGTAATGATATATAAAACAATTATTTATAATCATTCCATAGCTAAATATTTTACACAGAAGTGAAAAGTTTTAATTTGTGCTTAAGAAAGGCAAAACATGTACTAATTTAAGTTTGTTATTGACCTTGTTTCTAATCAGGTCATTCCCTATTTTCATTTTAGGATACATGCAAAAAAATATAAACACAACAGAAATATGGATATTGTGTATTTCTTGGATAATTACAACCAATTAATCAAGTGTAACCTTAATCTATATATATATATATATATATTTCTAGATAATCTGATTACAGGTATTAATACCAATATTAGACTTGATAGTTTCAAATAAATTGAGAATTGAGTAGAGACTTAATGATAAATATCTTTTTTATTGTGTCCCAAAGAGTAGAAAAAAGTTTATTTCTGATGTTTCGTGACTTAATGTTCGCTATTTCTTCAGAGTAAATAAATAACCGACATTAAATTAGCAACAGTTTAAACAGTATAAGGTAAACAATGCAAAATATTTTTTAGAACAATCAAAGTCACAATAGGTCTGAATATGTCAGTGTCAAGTTATTCTTGGTCAAACTGAATTTATATGACCTGTTACAGTATTAATTTATGTGTTAGAATATGGGTATGAAAAATGTATGGATTTGTGATGTGAAGTAGAAGGTTGATATATTTTGCACTATTTCCTTCATACTAACGAAAAGTGTGTTAGTTTAATTTCAGATATTTATTGACTCTGAGGAAGCGGCTTACATTAAGTCACAGAACGTCAGCAATATAATTTTTCTACTCATTGAAATATAACAAATATATATTTATTATTAATATGATTATATTTTCAGTAGTGCAGATGTTGTTAAGCTCTTTGTTAGTTATTTAAATTACAGTTCATAATTGTTAATTTTTAAGTCCCATTCCACATGTGATTGTGAATGAGCACTGCCGAAAAGTTTCATATGAAGATGAAAACAACTGTTTAGAGCTCTTTGCATGTTACAGTTTATTCCCATGCAAGTCACTACAGAAATATGAAACTTCAGATGTTTAGCAGTAGTTGAATTTCCATTACTACTTTTTTTAATCGTGATCACTTTGAAATTTTTTATTATCTCTTGTAATTCTTACACCGAATCGAAGATATTTTCAGTCAGTGAACAAAATCTTATGCAAAACTTTTTTTAATGTACATTGTCAGGCAAGTTCTATAGTGTACATTAAAAAAGGGATGAAAGTGATCAATATGGCGGCTTATATAAATGGTCACCCTTATTCTTTTCATAAGTTATATACTTTATACAGAAATCCATACCTGTGTGCATATTTGTGTGTGCTTTTCAATACATACATATTCAATCACTGACATCACCATTATTCACTAATTTTGTATTAATTTTGCGTGCAAAGATATACACACATACATTCCACAATTTATTTAATATCATATTTAGATTTTTTTCATCAGACCACATAACATATAAGGCAAACAGACAGCAATAGTAAAGCTTATTCTATATTGATGCCAGACAATTAGCCAACTAAAATCTCTGGGAAAATAAGTCTGCCTGATTCATTTAAAAATCACCAACACACACATAGATATATCTACATAGGTGTTGTAATGTATGCCTTTATCCAAATACTTTGGTGCAGCCTACGCAATATTAATTCCTTTTATAAAGCACAATGCATATGGAAAATATTTCCATATAGGAAGACGTGATATCCTAGTAACTGTTATATATATTTTTAAAGAATATTTGTAATTATTACAAATAATCGTAGTACTAACGTGAGATCACTTGGTGAAAAAAAATCAAAATATTTGTGTATTCTGATTCTTCATTTGAATAATAGACAAATCTCAATATTAAAAGTAAGTCTGTTTCATAGTTTTAATCTTGTTAAATCCCTTTATATTCACTGAATAAACTGTGACTAATGTCAAATTTTGAATATATATTATTTTTGTTTATTTAATCTGAATATAAAGTAGACGTGGTAAATTAAATTCTAATGAGTATGAAACAGTAACATCAATTACATTTGATTATTTCACTTTATTGATAATAAGCTGAAGGTGAAAATTTTACAAATTCGATTTCTGCTATATGGTTAAAAAATTATTTTGATCTCTATAGAATCTATTGATATTGGATTCATTCGCATCCTCAGTATACACTGAAACGTTCATACAATACTTCGTGGGTTTTGTGTTCTAGATGATAAATTTAAAATTTTCCATGATTGATGATACGTTTGATTTTATTTTCTCTCACTAATTTTTATTATCAACAAGAATTACATTTCAGTAGTAAGTATTCAACTAGGAGCTTGTCAGAAACAACATGGTTATTTCTGTCATTACTTCATTCTTGGCTTGAAATAAAAGAATTCGTTGCAATATTTATATATATATATATATATATATATATATATATATATATATATATATATATATAATGTTTCAATAACCTGATCCGAAAACTACAAAAACCCAGATTTCTTAAATTCATTTACTGTTCTAGAATATAGAAATTCGAATAAATACGACTTCAGCTAATTAGAGGTATGCTAGTTGATTTAATTTCACTTGGAATAGATCGTAAATATTGACTCAACAATTAACATCTGGTGTATATGACCCTTTTCAAATATTTAATTCATCTATATATAAAGTGTCCAAAAACAAAACATCTATCATTGACAGAAACTGTTTCATTTAGTTTAAAGCTAATGTTATAAGTTATATGAGAATAATCAAACTAACTGTTAATTGCAAAGCAAAATAATATAGAGTCTTACTGATGAATGATTAATTGTAAACGATGTCATATCAATAGATATTTAGTCCTGAGTACATCTTATAGATCATGATGAAATGTGGTCATTAGATTACATAACCTAAATTTGATATTTTTGGTCGATTTTCAGCAATCACTTTGTATCAGAAACCTATTGTGTCATTCAGTTTTCAAATATTTCAGCACTGGAATATTTAATCAATAATCATTGAATTTAGTTATAGTTTGTATAAACTATAGAGATTTCACGAACTATCTATTGATAAATTACTGTCATATTCATTCTTGTTTATTACACAAATGCATATTAGTTCCATACGTATATACATGCCCATACAAAAACATATATATGTGAATTTATAAATGAATACCTATTAGGTAAGTGAAGGCAATTAATAGGAAGAGCTAAACATCGGTTTCATGTTGGTACTTATCAGCATGGTATCTCTAAAATCTTTAGGAAACTAATGTTCCTCACTTGTTTCAAACATTATTTACATAAGAAACAAATACAATTAGGTACAGTACCGAGTTACATAGATTAGTGATTTAATCCGGACTTTATAAATACTATTAAACTATCATTAAAGTCTAAACAGCAGTACGATGTAGATTACTCATTTATTCAATGACTATATCAATAAATGTGCTTTACTAAAAAGTTTGGATTAACAACTAAACGATATGTCATAATATGATATTGATTTATTTGGGTCAGAACTTACATTTATATAAGTTAATTTAAAAATTAAAAGATGATTTTTGATTAAATTTTCACAATTAATTTATAACATTCAGATTAAAAATAAGACCTATTCAGAAAGGTTTGTCATTTCTGGTTTGGTTCAAGTTTTTAGTATCAAGAATATTAGTATCAAGAACGATTTTAAATCATATTTCTCTCAAGATAATGTAGATTATTGTAAAATACTTATTTCATTAGAAACATTATTTGAACTTACGTTAAACAATCTTGATTAAACTTTTTTTTATTTGATTCAAAAAAACTGATCTACTGTAATAAGATCAGAAATTAAATAATAAATATAAAGCGCCAAATGTTTATTTTTAAATCAAAGTTTGTTTACACTTTATTAGTTCAAACTAAATCATATTCACTTAAACATATGCTGGGTCAATAAAGTAGAAATTTCCTTGTTAAACAATTTTTATATTGTGTCCATCTTCATCTGTGTTCTGTATGTTTGTAATAATAGTTTTTTTTTTCTTAAAAAAAACCCCTCAAAGTTATGTAACAGAAATCGATAATCGATCAGTACAAAAGTCTGAATGTTCATACTGAATGTGTAAAAAACAAAAGAATATAAGCCCCAAAACAAAAGGGTTACATAACTACATATTAGTGATTTATATACATATTTTGTTTCAGTTTTAAAAGTTTTTAAACGGAAATTTCAATCAATAAATACTCGAAATACAAAAGTAAGATGCCAAGAAAACTGCATAGTGATTATGTTAGGCAAAATATATCATTTGTTTATAATATATATTTTGTTCAGAATAGGACGAGAATGGAATGTATGTATATATAATTGTTTTTATGTAATATACAAGAAGTCAAATCATTGAAAAATTAATTGTTTATGTTAATCTAAGCTTCTAGGTTAAGTTGTTTAATCTACCTCAAGCGATCTAGTAAAACACGAATACGTAACAGCTGTTAAAATGAATTAGATATTTGTTTATCATATGGAATTAAGAAGTACTTCGTAGTAAAACAACTATATCAACAAAATTCTCTCATTAGTTGTGATCGAATAATATTGAGAGTGATTGTCACTAAGTATTGAATTTCTATCAACATTTGAATATTATAAGTAGTCAGAAGGAATGTCTACAAGTATAAGGGTGATTAACATGGATATTGAATGAAAAGTCAAAATTGTTCTCTAGACTCGATCAGCAAAACTTTTGATCTAAAGTTCAAACCGATCACAAAGTTTGACATACTCAGGTTGTTGATTGATTTACCTGGCCATTAACAGAGTTTATTTATTTCCTTTATCTGTATTTTTGATTCCTTTATACATTGTTTCATTGAATTTTATTGGTAGGTAAGCGCGTATGTGAACAAGTAAAAAAGGAGAATTCATGTATTCGTAACAATACCTAACTACTGTTTATAACAGCAAATTATTTTCTTCACAAAAACATATTTGCTTTTTGTATGATCTTTTTATATACCACGGCTTTATATCAATTCATAACTATTATGTGATGAATATGTCGCTCAATTTTGTGTTTTGGTTGAAGTTAGACAAAACACCGTCGAATGCCGCCTTAATGGTCTAGAGAATAAGCGCTCACGCGCGAGATTGATAAGACCTGAGTTCGAGTCTCGTGAGGCGTGATCGTGGATGCGTACTGCTGAAGCGTTCCACAATAAGAGGAAACGGCCATTCAGTGCCTCTAGGTTTTCCATGGTAGTCCAGCTTCAATTGACTCATGATCTCAACTATTGAAATTAATATAACATCCACGAAACCCCTTCTGATATTAAAAATATTTATCAAATCTATATTACCTTAACTAAAATTAGGATAAGTAATCAAAAAATATCACAAGTATGAACATAATAGGTTTCGCTAGTATTCATTGTTAAAATCTTGACAGAATTTGACTAAAATGCAAAATACATCTGGTTATTGTTTTCCTGAACCTAACTGAAAATTAGTTGTAGACATAAGTGTAACTATTTGGTGTATGAACGTAAATTAATGTTGTGAAAACATTTTAACTTCTATTTTGCTTTTTGGTTTATTTAATAATTGAGATTTGAGTGATGGTTAGATGTATACACGTCAAGGTTTATTTTTGTACTTTATTCTCCATTGCTTAATAAGTTCTCGGTAATTCATCCATTAGTATAATAGTTGACGGATTCCAATAAACGCTACACTATATCTTGACTTGACCAAACTTTAGAAATGTAAATCTTCATGTTGAAAAATCAATTTTTCAAGGATAAGACTCCCGCCTGCAATACTTGAAAGATTTTTTTTCGAATTCTCTGTTGTGTTGTAGACAAGACTATCAAACAGTACTACTAGGCTATTGATGATTCCTCAAATGATATAAATTTGAGAAAAAAATATCACCGATATTTGTATTTTAATATATTAACCATTCCCATTGAAGCTTTAAATTATAAGCAAATATAGGTAGTGCTTAGGAGTGGAATCCAGGGCGTACTTTCGTCCTATTTGACACTGGTCAGCTGGGTCTACCTTCATCCTAGAGTTGATATTTACTCCGGGACTCATAATCGAGGCAATTCGCCCAGCATACTTATGTACTAATAAGAGACTGATCAGTTTAAGTCCTAAACATCAATGGGAAGATTGATACACGCAGTAGAAAATGAAGACGAAGATTATCAGAACTATGTGATATATTAATGCAATACATTCAAAAACAGTTTGTTCTCACATTAAACCTACCCTGGTAATTTTAGCTTGTTATCCATAATGATGAGATTTCGAATTATTTTCATATTATTTTTCTTATTTTCCTCTTTCTAGTATAGTTGATCCTTCTATTTTTATATATAAATGTTCTGAACAATTATATATATGTGATCACATTGTTCGAAATGTATTGCGCTAATATATCATCATATAGTTCTAATAATCTTCATCTTCTTATTACACTATTGAAATTTATCAAAAGGGATTCATTGCTTCAAATACAATATGAATGTAAATTATAAGTTGTATGTTTCTTTAATAAAAAGAATCTATAACAACTTAACTAGATGCATAAAATCATCGGTTAGTCGGTTAACTCAAGTTCCATTGATTTCTTTGTTATGTCATTAAATGTATTGTTATCTAAGTAAAGAGTTTTACTTAGATAACAATATATTACCATAATTAAAAGAAAATATTGACACCATAAAGAAGTATTTTTATAATCGACATTGAATTATTTCATCAATCAAAGTTTCTCATTTTGTTTTAAATGTTCTACATAGAACATGTTTTTTTTAAAACTTTTCTTGTTTGTACATAGATAATGCATATGTATACACTAAGCAAAAAAGTTCGTAATT